GGCAGAGCCACTGAGTTGGATTATTTTTGACCCTTTGAAAAGCTTGGATTTTTTTCCAAGGCTTCTATGGGCTTTAAATTTTTTGAACAAAGCTCTATGTTTTCAGAATCCAATTTATATGAAATAGATGTTTCTGTCAGGCTTCAAGTAGGGCATCTGGACCAATTTTTAGGTACCTGCTTTGAAGTCAGCCCTTTGTTTTGGCTGTTTGTTCATACATTGATATATGCAATATTTAATTTATAGTAAAGTTGTCTTCTTTTTAACTATGCAGTTGTTTTGGGTTTTTTCTTAGTTCTTTAGGCTGGCTTTACTAAAATTTTCAAAGCTTCAATACTTTAAGTCAGGAAATGATAATACAATTGCTGGTAATTAAAGTGGGTTTTTACAGTCTCTTGTACCTCAAATGGAATAGATACATTGAAGGCTGTTCTTAAAAATAATTGTACAAGCTTGCCATCCACAGGCACTTCTTTTCTTTCTCTTTTGAATCTGAGTTTTGCTGTGTTCCTTTTCACAAACAGAGCTGTGTTTGGCTGAATTCTCTCATGGCTGGAAGCTGCTCTGTGTTTGACATGCAAGCTTCTTGCAGTGTTACTTTTTGCTTCTGTAATTTTCAGATTTTTTGGTGAAATTCTGTGACTAATTTAAATATTATTAAGGAACAAGATAGTAATTAAATTTACCAAATTAAAGCCACAAGATGGCATCAAATTGTAAACTCTATCCTTTGCTCCTAAAGTTTTTTTAAAGGTCAAAATACTACAGGCTGTCATGATCTCTACTGAGAGTTGGGAAAGGGAGTATGCAATGAAATAGTTTTTCCTTCCACCATTTGGACCTGTAAAGCTGCCATAAGATATCTTTAATAATTAGGTTTTAAACAGGGGAGTTTATTTTCTAAAGTGTAGCAGGAGTTACTGTTCAGCTAATTTTTCATTCCAGTTGGGAAATGAAGGTAACCTAACTATGGATGTTCATGTTCATTTAGACCTAAGAAAACCACTAAGTATCTAAAATATGGGAAAGTAATAGTTGGGTCCTGATAAATCTGTTAGGTAAATACTGGTAATGGGTAATTTTTTGTTAATGCACATAATAGCTGTTTTTAAAAATTGTTATTTTTAGTAAAGTCAAAAAAAGAGGTTTAAAGAGAGAGGTTTAAAACCAAGAGATTTTAAAAGGTGTCTAAAAGAAAACAAACAAACAAACCCCCAACAGCCACTCAGGAAACTTAAACCCAGCCATGACTGTACTAACCACAGGTACTGAGCTGTTTCCCACTCATCCATTGCTCTGTGAACCGAGTATTTTTTAGGTGTTTAGGTACAACAATGCTAAATAACAAAGGGAATACACTAAACACAAAAACATTGTTAGGCAGAGATATTTTAAATGTCTGAAATGACAGGGAACAGAAGCACTAAAATGAATCCCACAGAGAAGCAGATCCAGCCCTGTAGGGAAGTGAAGCAGCGAGGCTCAGGCAAGTCTGGAGCTGATGACATTCTGTGTCAGGGTGTTGCTTCTGAATGGTTAAAATGTAAATCATAAGTAAACTCTCTATATATAACCTTCTATGGTAAATTAGCAGAAGTAAACCAAGTAATATGTTTTTGATTAAAAAACAACGTTAAGTGGTTTTCTTAAAGAAGATTTGTATTTTTCAAATTACATGGTTTTGTTACTAAATTAGTTTCAACTTATGAATATTCATAATATACTCTTTAACAGTGTCAAACAGCTTATGCATGAGAATTAGGTATGTCATTTTCGAGCAAAACTGTCTAAGTATTCAGAAATTTTGAGGAAATGAATGTTCTTTAAATAGCTAAACAGTGATTCCTGCTGCTTGTGATGCTTTGGGTACAGCTGCATGAACAAAAGCTCCCTTAGCTGGAGTTCAAATTTGCAGCGTGCTGGTTACTTAAAAGGAACTTTTAGATTAAAAATTTCACATGAGAAGATTTGAAATACCTTTGTGTGTGCTCAATGAGAAATAACTCTGGCCTTTACAGGGAATGAGAGTGTGCAAACCAGGAGTTGCCTCTGAGTAGCAAATCACCAGCAGCACCCCCTTTGTGTGGTTGGATGAAGCAGCTGCAGAGGTTACTCTGTCAGATGAATACTCTTTTTTCTCTGGGAGAAATCCTGGCATGGACTTCTCTGGGTAATACCTCCTTAAGAACAGAGCTCAAATCACTGTGTTGTCCTAGGAAAAGCTTGTATCTCTATCTGAATGCTTTTGAAAAGCAGTAGTTGTAAATCCAAACTTAGCAGGATGAAGGAAAATAACAACAAAATGATCCTGATAATGACTTCTTTACTGACCCCGTGTTTTCCTCTCCACTTGGGGGTCTTGTCAACCATCACAGCTCTGTTCTTCTGTTCATTTCCTCACCTTAGTAGTGTATACATTTCTCCTTACAAATCTTCTGAGAAGTGTGCGGGTGAAGTATTGATCAGAATTTCTTTTGCTGCATTGGCTGCAGCTCTTACAGAACAGGAGGTAGTGGTTAGATCACTGAAAATTGTAAAAAGAGAAGGGGTGTAAATCACCTCCAGAGGATTGATTGTCACCTTCAGTCAGGTGACAGCTGAGCTTTGATGATACCTCAATATCAGGAGCTGTGAGCTGAGAAGGTTCATTCCTGAGATTATCATAGTCTGAGGTACCAAGTTATACAACTAAAAGCTGTACCTCCATAATTTATTGATTTGCAGGATTTGGTCTTACAAACAGAATGATCATAGGCATGGAAGTGGTGTTTACTAATTTAAATGATTAAACTATTAATCAGATTTTTTTGTGGTTATTTTCTGTGTTTTGTTTTTCTTTTGGAGGAGTGCATTTTGTTTCAGTTTCTTAAAGCCTTCCTGTTTTGTTTTAGGCTCCTGCACTAAGTTTCCCATAAATCACTGTAGGGCAGGCAGTTCAAAAGAGAGTGAAGAACCCCCAAAAAGATAATTTGCCTGTTATTTCTTTCGGCTCAAGCCACTGGTTTGGCTTTGGTTCTTGTTTGGTTATAATTCTTCACCAGTTTCTCTGCAGCAGCTCCTGGGTGTCTCCTTCTCTGCAGGCTGTGTTTGAGCCATGGGAGGCACTGGGTGAGTGGCAGAGGAGGCAGCAAAGCTGCGCTGCTCATTCCATGGGGTGGAAGGAGGAATGAAGGTGTGGGACAGCACACAGTAATGCTTATGCATCTAAACTGGATTTAGAAACTTGAAACTTGGCATTGCAGGAGTTGATGTTACTTTAGCTTGATAATTTTCTTTACATTTCATCAAGTACTGTGAATTTAAGGAAGTGTTATGGGGGAATTCTTGGTTTCTTCGAAATGAGTGACTAGTGCAGCACAGAATCATTCTTTTGACACAGAACATGGTATCTTTCTACAGAAAGAGATACAAAAAGTTTTATTTCTGCTTTCTTAGAAAGTGGAAGTAAAAAGAAAGATGCTGTTTCTCAGTTGCAAGGCTTGTCTCAAAGGTAGTTAGCTTTTCCTGCTGCTCTTCCTCTAGAGTGTGGTAGTATTTTTATTTTTATAATTTTCTGAGTAATTATTGTGAAAGGACATTGGCAAAAATACCTTTCCTCTGCTGCTATAAAAGTAAGTCTTAAAATAACAGGTACTGACTCAACTGCCCTACATAAATGTTGGTATTTCAATAATCAGAAAAGAGTGCAGCAAAATTTGGGATAGACCCATTACTTGCAGTGCAGGGTTAAACCCTTATTCTAAAGATTAATGGGAGGTTGCTGCCTGTAAAAGTTCCAAAAGCTGCTCACTGCACCAAATGTCAGCTCCAGCTTATTGAAACTAATCATGGGTGGCTTCACTAAGGCTCAGGGAAGAGAGGCTTTGAGTAAATTTGTGTTTTCTATGGGCTTCTGTGGGGAGCTTCTATTTGTACTTCAGAGATGATGAGATAAAGAGTTTTAACTTTCATGATGGAAACTTAAAAGCAGCTCCTCTAAGTATTATTTAAATCATGCAGTGAGCCCTCTCATGAGCTTTCTTTTATTTTGCATTACAAAACACACTGTTATTTATGCATGGAGATAGAAGTCTGATAATGCCTATTGGAGTCCTTTCCAACAGTTTTTCCTCTGAGTGGGATCTCTGACCTTTCTCAGTGTCTCATGCTTGTAGGATATCTCACATGATGTTTTAAGTAATTTTCAGCTAAAATCCGTGGTTTCATGTTAAGAAGGTTTTTTCCTGTCAGCTCTGCAAATAGATGGAAGTGGCTGGAATGTGCTGCAGCTTTTCAGCATGTTGGTGCTATGTGTTATGTTCAGGGAGGTTTCACAGCAGAAACTGAGAGCAGAATTTGTTCTTGCAGGATTTGTGTTGCTCTGGAAGCAGACGTGTGACCTCACTGTTTTCTTTGGTGCTGTGTTGACTCTGGGGAGCTAACAAGAATAAACAGTAGTGCAGGTCTTTTGTGTGTTACATTAAGGTAATTGGATAAGGCATGAGCAGAACTAATTATCATGAGAGTGCTATTTCTGGGCACTAAAACTCCTCAAGTCAGGAATGCATTGCAATTTCTTGGTCCTGGTTTTCCATCCAGAGCATAAGGGGATCTTGTTTGGAAATTTCTACAGCCAATTGCTTATATTTACATTACTAACCCTTGGTGAAGGTGGTAGTAGGTAAAATGAAACAATACTGTAAATAGGAAAAGTTTATTTGAATGTAAAAGTTTATTAAACTTTTTAAAGTTAAAATATTAAACATTTTAAAGTTAAATTTTAAAAAGTTTATGGTTCGTTAAAATGTAAGACTGTAAAAGTTTGAGATTGTTTGTCTTCCCTAAAGCTAAAACAGGCTCTATAACGAGTTTGGAATATTTTCTCTATTTTCTTCCATCACTTGAGTGGAAACATACTGCTCTCATTATCGTGATACTTTCAGTACCTCTGTGGTTATTTGAAAACTCGTGTGCCTGACACAAAGCTCAGCTGATCATGTTGTTTTTCTGTCTTTCCAAAGGAAGGTGCATCTGCCAGAAAAACACAAACTCCAGCAGCACAGCCTGTGCCACGACCAGGTAAGGTGGCCACTGTCCCATGGGCTTCTGTCCCTCGTGTGCATGAGTTTCTAAGGAGCTCTCTTCAGAACTTTAGTAAGCTCAAGAATAAAGTACAGGTCATTTATTTTTGGCCTTTAATTGTGCATAAATTGGAAAAACCCCATAGCCTTTTGTTTAATGTTATACCATGGGACTTGGGGTCATTCTCTTGTTGCCCAATTAGCCCATTGAAAAGATGCACTGCTGAAATTAAAAAGTCAAGACCTTCTCTTGGTTGTGGGCTTGGTATGTCAGCAGTTAAAATTTCACAAAATTCCCACTCAAATATCTAACAAGAGCTGGTTAATACTCCAAGGATAAACAAACAGAATACCTAATCTCAAAATGAGATGTATTATTACTTCTGGGATTAATATGTCAGAAGTAAGTAGTTCTCTGAATGTGTTATCATTACTTCTTCACACTTCTTAAGCACATATTTGTAACGGGGCCAAAATCCTGAACTGAGTTTTTAATTCCCATTCAGTAAATTTTGGCTGCCAAGTCCACTTATCTGTCAGATGGAATCTCGAGTTTTGATGCAGTGGTGGGGTGATAATGTACTTTGTTTAAATAAGAAACCCTTAGGATGAGTTTTTAGAAGCATGTAAGACCAGTACATGAGAGGGACAGTTCTTGCAAACTGATGTGCAGATTTGCCCCTGGTTTACATACTTTGAGACTTTAGTGGTTTGGTGGAAGATCTCAAGTGAAAGATGCTATTTCAGGACAAGATGATTTTATGAAGGTTCTGGGGGCATTCTGGAGGTTTGGAAGCAAAGCTACCAGTTAAAATGAATATACTTTTTCTAGAAGTACTGCTGGAATACTGTATATCCTTGTTGAGACTCTAAATGCTTGCAGTGTGTTCTTTGCTAATTCCTTGAGATTTGTTTGCCGGATTTAATGCTAAGACTTAATATTGTAAAGCTGCTTCTTTCTCCCAAATCCATTCTAATATTGAATGTTCTCAGCATGCCCAAATGCTGTTGTGCACAGATTCTTCTGTTTGGTTATTTTGGAACTGGAAAGGTCATGCTGCCTGTCATACTTATCTCACTAGCCCCGTTAAGCATCCTAATGCAGATGGAGTTGACAGACAGCAGTATGAAAAGGGTAGAAGTGGCAAGAAAGGAAATGTGACTGAGTTGTCACAGTCCCTGCTGCTGGATGTGACTTCCTGGGCACTTCCTGCCAGCAGCGTGGGCTTTGTACATGACAGAGGTGACACTGATAGTGCCCTGCTCTGAGGCCAGCCCCATCCATTATCTTGCATCTACATTGGAAATTGGAGAGGGAATACAGAAGACAGGTGGAGTCAGAAGAGGTTTCTCTTTCTGCCTGTCCTAGGATATTTTTGCATTTTGATATTTGTATATTTTAAGAATTGAGCTGTTCTATTCTTAGCAGTCAAAGCAACTAAACCTGCTATTGGCAGGAGGATGCTGCTTTGCACATAGGAAGCATTAATTAAATTAGGCTAAATTGTTGAACAGTAGTGATTTGAGGAAAATGCTTGAGGTGCACTCTTAAATGATATTTCTTGATGCCATTTTGCATAACCAACTTTTCCCCTTACCTGTCTTTGTACAGCTATTTAATTTCTTACAGATGCTTATTCTTTCTCCCCCTCCTTTTTGTTTAGATGTTTTTCTCCTTAAGGCAGCTGGCTCTGCCCATAATTTCAAGAATATTTTTACTTTAAGGAGGTACCTAAATTAAAGAAAAAAAAATTAAAAATCACCGGGTAGGTAAAGTTCATGTAGTTCAATATAGTGTTGCCAATTATATCTGTGCATTTGACAGTGTCAGGAAAAGATAATTAAGGATATGGTCTCAATATTTCAATAATGGCAAGTATGTGCTGTGAATATTTATACTGTTCTAGGCAGTTTCTGAAACAGTTGGTCATAAATAAACATGAGCAAGTTGGTGCTAAGCAATTGGAAGTCAATTAATGAAATTTGTCATGCATAGTAGCAGTTGAGACTTGAGTTAGTCTGCATCAATCTCTCTACTACTCACCATTTTCTGAATTAGGATAAACATGGATGATGATGATGATTATCAAGTGCTACATTTCTCCCCTGAAGTTAGGGCTCCTGAAAACTGAACTATAAAATGTTCATTTGGGGAAACCAGGCAGGTCACCTGGTAACCAGGGAATGGCACCAAAGAGAAGAAACAAAGAGGCTTTTCCACTTTTGGAATGCAGTGTCTCCTCTACTGAGGTGGTTACAACTTGGAAGACTGAAGGGGAAACATTTTGCTGGAGAAGTGGGGGACAGTTCTTTGGTTTCTACCATTCCAGCAGTGATTTGGTGGATTTCTTTGGTGGTTGAGGGTCATTTTGTTTGTGGGTGGGTTGGTTTTTTCTTTTTCTCTTTTTCTTTTTTTGGTTGCTTGGGTTGTTTTCCCCTTGAGTGTCAAACTTGATTGGATCTGGCTCCTGAAGACCTCATTTAACTCAAGCTGCAATTCAAAATTAACCTGAGTAAGCCTGAAATTCAGGTTTTGATTGTTGAACTTCTATATATGTTTGGGATGGCTAAACCCGATGGATGTCATGTGCAATAATAAGTACTAATGAAAAAGTGAGGTGTAGAGATCAGTGTCTTGTGAAGGTTTTCCTGCTGGTTCAGCACTACTGAACTGAAGATCTACAAGCAGCATTTTCATGATTTCTGGGAATTTTTGTGCATGGTGTCGTGTCCTGGCCTTTGGGGAGGATGGAGGGGGATGAGTGCCTTCAGTAAAACTGGGAGAGATTGACTGAACTCTCCTAATAGCTGCTTTGGATGGTTAAAAACTTGTTTGTTTTCTGAATACTCATGCCCAAATTATAAATCCCTTCATCATCTTAGTGTCTTCCATCTGTAAAATGGTCTAATGACTGTAGTGTGACTCTTCCCTACTCACTCCTGCAATTAGGCAGATGCTTTGCAATGACATTTGGATTGATGTCCTAGTCATTCTTCTGTATCTTTCGGTTTTTTTTCTCAGTTTCTCAAGCAAGACCCCCTCCAAACCAGAAAAAAGGTGAGTCAGTTTTAGTTACATGATCTTTTTCATTTTTGTGTGAATTGTGCCCACTTTTCCTTTTTTTTTCCCACCTGACACTACAAGCAGCAGTATAAGCAAGCCATGGAATATATAGCATGTATTCTGTATAGCATAATAGCATTCCATTGTGCTAAATATGGGTCCCACACATGTTGAGAGACTTGTGATACAGGGATCTGCTTTCTTGGTGAATGAAAACCTTGACTTCAGAAAAGCTTTACTACTGTTTTCCTTTACTATTTTTCCATGATTGGGACCTTTTAAGCAAGAGTTTTGTTGTGTACAGTTCCTTTAATGAAAAAAAAGGGGGAGGGGAGGAAACAACAACCAGAACACAACAAAAAAACCCCTCCAGGCAAATTCTAACTTTATTATCTCTACAGGATCTCGAACTCCCATAATCATTATTCCAGCAGCCACGACCTCTTTAATAACAATGCTTAATGCAAAGGACCTTCTGCAAGATCTGAAGTAAGTAGCTGATTAGAACATACTGTATAACAATTTGTTTTCAGATAGAAAGTTATGCTAACACCTAATTAGTGATTAAGCAAGAGGGTTCATTTACTCTCTTGTGACAAGCTAGTTTTACAGACCTGAGTGTAAAAGAAATTAATTCCTCTTGACTAGTAGGAAAAAAAAGCAAAAACCTAATTCAGAGTTTTGGCTCAGCTGTGACCTGTGGGCAGATTTAGGAAACTTTTGCAGTTGAAATGTGTGCAGTGCTTTTCTCTGATGTAACATCTGTGCAGCCATGTGCAAGTGAACCCTTCCCATGGAAGAAGGCTGAGAGAAGCTGACCAAGAGAGCTTCTGGAGCTCAGAAATAATTTTGGGAAAGGACCTCAGTTATTGTAAAGGAGAAGGTGACCAGGTGGGCTGTATCAGCCAAGCATCCCAGCTGGTTGTGCAAACAAGAAATTTTTTCTGAAGTTCACATATTGTCATTAAGTGTTGATGCAAATGCATCCAGGGAAATTTCATTGAGTTACTAAAACTTGTTTATCACATCACACATCTGATTCCAAGATTTAATTCATTATGGTGAACGAATCTTTCTGCTTGTCCAACAGATCATGGTTTTAGACTTGCCTATCAGTAAATATCAGGTAATTTTTGGGAACAGTCTTTTTCACAGAGAAAAGTTTTTTTCACTTTTCACAGTGAGAAAGTCTTTTTCACTGTCGTAGGTTCTCTGCAATGGTATATCCAAAAAATTAAGGGGTCATCTTTCTGCCACCTCCAGCACTCATCTTTCATGATACTGTTGCACTGCTTTTCATCCAAACCAGGCTGTGGTGGTGGTACAGCTTCTGCTGGAGTTGCCCTGGAATTGTTTAAAGTGTGCTCTGAGATACCAGGTGCTTTCTGATCCACAGTTCCAGTTCTGTCTTAGTGCCACAGGCATCAAAAGTCCAGTGAGTGTACTGGGCTCTCAGTGTCTCTTCTGAAATACTTTCAGGGCAGGCTGGCTTTTAACATTGCAGTTCAATGTGCAAGCTGTCACAGCACTGATCCAATTGGATTGATTGTTTATGTGAGTTTTTAATATTTAGGAAAAAAAATTAGCCCTGGCTTTATAAAAAAAGCCCTGGATTTTCCAGCTGTATAATTTGTGACTTCCTGGCACAGGTGTACTCAGAAAGGAATTAAGCATCTACTGGCCAAATGCCAGTGCACTCATGAAAATCATCTACTCAGCTTCCTCTGCTGTAATTGGAGCAGAGGAGGGGAAAATAAGCAGGTAAAATAAAGCTCATGGGGTTGAGATAAGGATTAGGAGAAAATACTTTAGGGGCAAAACAGGCTCAAAACTTTAAAGGGTGTAAAGAAAACTTTATTAACAGAACTAAAAGGAGAATTATAAGAGCTAAAATAAGCCTTTAGATCACCTTTCCTCCCCCCAGCCTCTTTCTATTTCCCACCTACAACTTAAAGAGACCAAACATGGGATTTGGAGTCAGTTTACCACTTCTAAAAAGGAATCTTTCTTCCGTTCACTTAGGGAGAGGAGTCTGCCCTGCCGTGCCACAGGAAACAGTTTCTTGTGGTTTTAATTTTCACGAGCAGCAGCCAGTCCCGGAAATCTGCAATTCTGAACTCCCTCCCACGCTTTGTCAGTCTTCTCACAACTGCCTCCGTGGGTCACTGCCTTATAGGGTGCAAGTTTTTAAGGATGAGCTGTTCTAATATAGAAGCAAAGGTTCTGTTCTTCTGTCTCTTAAAGCAAAGGTTCTCTTTCTCTGTTCAAGTCAGATCACATCTTCTTTCAACATCTGTATACTCCAGTTCTCTTCTGAGCTGCAGATGAATGCTGCATCTCCCCCTATGCTTTATGAGTTACAGGGAAATAGTCTGGTGCATTATATTCTCACCTTGGCTTGCAAAAGGTTTGCAGCTCCTAAACTAGAGCATCTCTTCTCTTTCTTTGCTCTGGGCTTTGGCCCCTCCTTCGTGCCGTCACCTTTCTTTTATTCTTCAGGAGAAGGTCGGCGTCCATGGATTATATTTGTTCCCAGATGGAATTTTTCAGCGCTGAAAAGGTTAATTTCTCGCGGGCCCTGCCTCGGGCCACGGCTCTCTGTGTTCCGGGGCCGCCCCGGTGCCCAGCCCGGCTCCGCGGGGATTCCCGGCTGCAGCAATCTCGGGGGCAGGGAAGGGGAGGGGGACACGACGACTTCTCTCTTCTCTAGAAAGCAGGAAGTAACCAAGAGCTTTCTGTGGGTTTTTTTATTTTAAAATATGATTTATAGAGAAGTGTCCAGCTTCTCTAATTGGCTTAGCAGTGTATCCGTCTCAGAGCCAGCTAGCTGCTGTTTCTGTCAGCTGTGAAGGAAGCTGTGATGTCTGTCATGGGGAAAGTCACTTCTCTGGCTGACCCTTTTTCCTCCTCACCAAAAATTCAATTAAGGCAAACCCAGGACAATCGGTCTGTCATGTCTAAGTGCATCTGTGCCAGGAGTCAGAGTTTTCAGCAGTCAACTTGCCAAGGCCTGTCCCAGGAGGATGCTCGCATTTAGAGTGCAGGAACATGATCCAGAACAACTGAAAGGGAGGGTTCAAAGGATGCCACTGCATACTTAGCCTGTGTGAAACAGAAAGGGAGAAGCAAGGTATGTTAATGAATCACAAGTGCAATAGCAGAATTCAGACGAGTAAAATATTAATTTAGCCATGACAGGTCTAGCACTCTTCTGGAAAATATGCCACCTGGCCTGTATTTGTTTGCATTCAGATTTATGGAAGCACTTTGTTCAGGAATGGCTTCAGGGTTTGTTTTTGCTGTTAAGTTATGCAGAGTGTAGAACTAGCCTTGATGTGGAGTGTGATTGATAGATATGTGATGGTTTTCCAAGGAAAGAAGACTTAGCTAATTTCTGCCTCCAAGTCAGCACCTTCTTTAACTCATTCCCCACTTGCAGCTAAATTTGACAGAAGAGCAGAGATTTTTCATTGCCACAAGTTGGGGGATAAAGAAATATTGTCCAGGTAGAAAAGACACCTAAATGAATCTTCCCTCCATTACCCTTGCTAAGGAAGATCCAGGTAGATTTTCATTTCTTGTATTTCTAGAGATAGTCAGCCTGCTTGTATTTGCCATCAGAGGGGATTGGTGATACAGCAGAAAGAGGAGAGAATTTTGGAGCTGGAAGGGTAAGAGCCATTGTAGGGGAGACTGTGAAGAAATGTAGCAGAAGCCTGGGAGGATGATGCCCTGTGGTGGCTGGGATATGGATATCTATGAGTCCGTGAAATGTGTCATCATAAAGAAGGAGAATTTGGGTTTCATAAATCAACTTCTGTAATTCTGTCCATTTAAATGTTTCTTAAAACAAAATAAGGGAAAAAATCAACTGAAATTAAAGATCAGAAACAGAGATGAAAACTTACAATCATAGCTGGGAATCTGTCATTTAGGATACTTTTTCTCTGCAATCCTGAGGTTTTTTTTTAAAGGAACTGGACTGCAATACATTCTTTGGATATGAGAAAAATTATTTGTAGTATAATTGTCAGATATTTTAGGTTGGTGGTTGTAAAATAAACAGGAGATTCTTCATCCAGTTCTGGGGTAGTACTTGAATTGTCAAGAACTGAGAGAAACTTATTAATTATACCAGGATTTTTACTAAGCCTATTTATAGCTCTGTAGTATATTAGTTTTTCATGCCAAATTGGCTGACATTTTTATGATGCTTAGCATCTTACTTTATCACTTATGTTAGGCTCTCTTTTAAGGTAGAGAGTATGGAAAGCAGGAAAACTATCATGTATAGAAGGAAATACATACGACAAACCCAAAGCATAGCACTAGTTTAAGGTATCTAATTTATGTATTCAATATATTTGTTGCAACTTAGATTTTGAAGGGAGACATTTCTGTATGTGATTGTAATATATACACTTCACCTGCTAAATAATACGCAAATATTCTTGCTAAGTTTTTTTGAAGGGTTACATTTCTAAGGAGCTAAATATAACATAAAGAGTTGCTAAAATAGTAAAAGGTAAAATTTAATTTAAAATCAGAACTGCAATATATTCTGTATGTTGTGACACTTCTTTAAAATATTTTATATAATACATTTTGTTCTCACCATCTGAATGTAACACTGGATATCACAGTTACTATGTGAAATTGTGACTCAGTATTTGAGAATACCTGGAGTCAGGCTTTTCAGAGACAAGGCTTCTGCTTTACATGGAGCCAAAGTGAGCAGAAATTCCATCAGGCAGATGAGAATGACTACATAGTGATGTATTTTTATTATGATGCTCTTGCTTGTGATACATTTAACCATATGTGGCCAGGCAACTCACTGGAGATTTATCCAGCTTTGATACCAACTGAAGTATCTGGGATAGATTCAGGCATGATGTAGTGTAAAAAAGCGTTGTTCTCTTGCAAAAATAGGTGTCCAAAGCTTTGGATACTGTAATTTAACAGAAGTACTGAGAGGGTGGTAGAAATAAGCCTTCAGTTCTGAACACAATCAAATGTGTATTGCCATGATGTCAGTTGCTGCTAAGTTGCCTTATTCTCCTTTCATGCATTTTTCTGTGTGCCTGAGCTGGGGCCAGACAGTGCTGATGTGACCTCAGTGGAAGTGTTTGCAAGGCACTGCTGCCCGTGGGTGTGAGTTTAGAGCCAGGGCAGCAGTAGCTCAGGCAGTTCAGTGGATGGTGTCCTAGCAGTTACCTCCCACACCTGGTGGTGTTCACTTGCTTGCCTGCCACCTTAGGGAAGGGACCTGCTGCCTTTACAAAGTGAGAGTGCACCATTCTTCATGTGGATAATGATTTGGCAATTAACAGTGAGGGCTAATAATTTCCTACCCCTACTAGGGGCATAAAAGAGCATTCTAAGTAGATACGGATTTTTTTTTTTTTTTTTAATAGGGAATAGTAATCTGGAGAAGCAGCAAGAAACTGTAAGCTCCTGCACACTCAGGTTTCAGAATCTATTTCTGATGTTTAAAAAGCTGTCAAGTACAAATGCGTAGTTAAGCCACTGGCTATAGTATTATGTAGGAATATTATAAATAATCTCCAAGAGAAGATGGGATTTTGGGTGTTTAATAGTCAGTTTTCTTATGCTCATGGGTAGTGATGACCTAGGCCATAAATATATTTATAATCATCCAGTAATTTCTATTGATTCTCAGTTCTTGAGCACATGACTTTTGCTGTGCTAACTGAGTCGATGATTCCCGGAAATGCAGGCACAGATTCCATAAACTTTCTGTAAGCTGTCCTTTATTCCTGTACTCTGTGTTTATCTGGATGTAAGTGCTTGCTTCAATGCTTGCTTTGTGGCACTTGCCTTCTCTGCTGTGCCCTTTGAATCTGCTCATTGATAGTTTGTCCTTAACAAGATATCTTTGTGTTGTGGCCTAGAGAATTGCACTCAAAAATTCAGATTTTTTCCCAGGAAATACAACTGAAGCCATTGTCTAGAAGGGACATAACTGAAGCACAAGTGAATGGTGCCTCAATGGCTGTAACACAGTTTCTAGCTGAAATGGGCAGAAACTGCCAAAAAACTGGTGTTGAAATGAATTCTTAAACACAGAAACATTTAAAGCAGTGAATGTGAGAAGACTCAAGAGTGGTGAAGTTGTTACTCTGTGGCACAGCAATATTGCCTCTACTCTCATGTGGCAGGGCTGCTTTGCTTCCCTGTTTCCATTTAAAATGTGTTTGCTTCTTCACATTTACAAATTAAATTTAAAATGTGACCTTTTAGATCCCTGTTCAGATGAATGCTTCGTTATCACTGTAATGTGTGTAGGGCTGTTTGGTTTTTATTTACATATTCTCTAAGAGTTTCTTCTTATTTAATGTAGGGGATGGAGAATAACAAAATTCTTCTAAAGCTGCCCAGCATTTGGAGTGACCCTGGCTTTTCCTATAAACACTGCCGGTTGGATAAAAGGTGTTTGAGGGCTTGTTTCTCTAATTTTTTAAAAATTTATCTTCATTGTTTTCAGCCCAAATTGCTTTAGTTCTAATGGGTGATGAGAAGAAGAAACTCATTAATAGTTTTCTACTAACAAAACTCATTAGTAGTTTTTAAAAAGCTGAAGGACCACAAAGTAAATCCTCATTTTAGGTTCCAGAGTTTCCTATCAGTTATTGTTGGTAAAGCAAAGCCTGTGACACCCTGGCAGGACAGGCCATTAGGAGTGCTCATGATGAAGGTGCACCTCACTTTGGAGTTTTTAAATTAGCAAATTGATGAGAAATACTTAAATTCTGGTGTCACATTGGGTGGTTTTTTCCAGTGCAGAACTCAACTGAATGCCTCTGTGTGTAGTGTGCAATTGTATGTGTCAGTCTGTTGTGATGGATAAAATGTATGTAAGTATTAACTGTTTGCTAATTACTTCAGCTATTAGGCAAATTAGTATCTTAACTTCTAAAGAAATATATTTTATGTGATTCTATGTGTAGTTTTCTGTCAGTGTCCTGTACAGCTTTTTTTGTTTGTATTTCCTGTAGAATGATGGTGTTTCACCTGTACTAGACAGACAAGCGTAATTTAATTTATAGCGGCTCATTTAGTACCTGTAATGCTTTCTCTGTATTTCCAGTTCTAGTCAGCTTTAATGCACCATTCCTAGTTATTAGCAGGTGTTGGGCTTTTTTAAATTTCTCAGTGCAGTTGTATCAGTGGAATGCATTTGGATACACATTTCAGAAATTGCTTGTGACTTTGTTTCTGAAACGCTGTTAAACACGAGGAGTAAGAGGGACATCATCTGTTAATTTACATTGGGAAAGTAAAACAGTTCTGCTTGGAGGTTTATTGAAAATTTTCTCCTGCTGCCTTAAAACATGTTTGGTTCCCACCCTCCCCTCCCTGCCCCCCATGCCATTTTCTCTTTGAATATCTAGTGAAAACAAGTGTTTTCAAGTTGACTGAATAATGAACTTTTCTTCATATTTAATCTTGTATTCTTTTTTCCTGTTTATCCAACAATAGGAAGTGCAGTGTGCCTGTTAAAGCACACATTCAAATTTGGTTTTTAGTATTCAAATAGAAATAAATTGAAGAGAACAAATAGAAATGCTGCAAAAAATGTAGTAAACTGCTCAAGAACACTATGTGCACTGTAATGAAGAGAAATGTTACCAGCTATATACTGTGCTTTTTTTTTAAAAAAATTACCACAAATCCTCCTGCTAACTACTGCAGTTAAGGGAAACAGAGTTTTATTTTCATCAGGAGCTTTGGCAATGAAATGTCAGGAGCAGACAGGGCTGTAGTGCAGCTGGGTGGTTCTGAATAGAATATCAGAGCACAGGCCTGAGCTCTGTTCTTGTGCTGGCCTGGAAGGTGCTGCTGGTCACATCAGCTTCCCTTGCCATGACACACTTCCAGTTCTGTGAAAGGCAAGACTCTGTTAACTTTCCTTTTTTCTCTGTCTCAAAATCCACTGAGGTTTATCAATAAGAAGGCCCACACTGCTCTCACATTTATGATGCCAGTTTTGAGACCTGTTCTGGGTATTTTATTATCACCATAAAAAGGAGAGCCTTGAAATGGGATTGCAGTTGTTTTTTAAGGTGAGGGGGCTGAAAGATTAAGGATCTGTAATTAATTGGAGGAAGGAAAGCTGTGTCACATCTTAGCATTTATTTTTGTCATATGGAGGTAATATATGACATGAGGGTTGCATTATCTGGACTTTACAAGCACTTATTCCATCACAGAATCTAGTAAGAAAAAACCCCCAAAAAACTGTAGTGTCATGCATCATAGTGCATGATGAATAATTGCAATGTAAAACCACCATCCTCCAAAAAATAAAACCTCATTCAAAACCACTTTGGAACAAAAATCCTACCTTTCTTGAAAAAATTCTAACTGGCAGTAATTCTAATGGCTCCATGAGCTCTTAAAATTTGCTCCTGAAAGCAACTGATTTAATACCCAGGTTACCCTTGGTCAACACATAGAAGAGTTGTGGTCAGTTTGCAGGTTGTGGTCTGGCTCCTCATCTGCAAATGTATTGTGTAAGGCCCCAAAGCCCCAAATGTCTAAGAACAGGTCAGGCTGTATTTTTGAGTCACAGAGGACCTTTTAGTGTGGGTGTTTTTGTCATGAGGGCTTCTGAAATACTGTTCTTATTTTTTTTTTTTTGATGTTCTGAATGAGTAGTGGTGGAGACTTGGAATTGAAGTGTCTTCAGTGGCTGCTGTCACTAATGCCAAGCTCAGATAAAGCTGTTACTTTTCCTGCTGATTCCATCAAGTAAATTGCCCTTGTCTACTGAGGGGTTTGTTATTCCCTAAGGTTTGTACCATCAGATGAGAAGAAGAAGCAGGGCTGTCAGCGTGAGAATGAGACTCTAATACAGAGGAGGAAGGACCAGATGCAGCCGGGGGGAACCACAGTCAGCGTCACCGTCCCTTACCGGGTCGTAGACCAGCCTCTGAAACTCATGCCACAGGACTGGTAAGAACACTTCTCCTTTAAAACATTTCTTAGCCCAGACGGTGCAGAATTTGGAGGGGAATAATAAAATATTCTGCAATCAACTGAAAAAGTACAGATATAAGAGTCTTCAATTTATTTACTGTAAAAGAGTCTTCAGCTGAAAATAATATGAAACTAAATTAATCTAAAGATCTTCAAAAGTTGCAACACTTGATTTTAACAGTGTAGCAAAACACAGTTAATATTATTGGGTTTGCCAGAAATGTTCCAGACATTCCAATAGAAATGTTCATATTATTGTTCTGGTTTGTGGTGTACCGTGCAAGTCATTGAACCATGATACGCAAGAAAACCCCTTCCCTCCTGTCTGCTTTTTGAGGGAGAGTCTGTTGGGAAGATGCTTTTGCAGGCTATCAGCATCTGACATTCCATCTTTTTTAATAGTTATAGAAAGGAAATACATCAGACAGTAAAGACTGAACTGTGATTCCAGTACTGGAGCTATTGGAATTTTACTTCTGAAGGAAAGCACTAGTTATAGAAAGGGAATCGTAGATAGTTTTTACTTTTATGAAAAACTGGAAATGGATTATTGGCTCTGTAGCACATTTTTCAAGGCTATTAAAAATAGCTCCCTTTGAACAGAACAACTCTAGAGAAGTTTTTATTGTTGTTCGACATCTTTTTGTTATTTGATGACATGTATTATGCAGCATTTTTGCTTCTTTCTGATGAGTGAGAAGATCTGGAATGTGGACAATGACATATTTGGTGGTTTTGTCATTTCCAAATTAGATTTTAATGGAGAGAAATACTTTGAAAAGATTCTGTTCCTAAATCAGTTTTTCTCTGTATTTAGAATTTGAATTAATCAGAAACCAATGGATTTAGAATTCTGAATATTAAATAGCACTTAAAATGTTTAATGATCAAACCTTTAAGGACCATCTAAACTACTTTCAAAAGTACTTCTGACCAAAGGCATGGAGTGATGTATGGCTTTTTATCTTGATTTTACCCAAGGAAGCCACTCTAAAACCTGCAAAAAAATAACCCCAGACCACAAAACTTCATCTTGATTATTCTTTTTCATTTGGGATTTAGTGGATTTAATGATAGATTAAATTTAGGGATTAGATTAGAGAGATAATAATTTGTTGTGGTAGGTAAGAACTGTGGTTGGATGATGTAAATGTTCAAGAGAAAGATAGATCATATGTGAGGAGGTCATTTATTCTCTAAGGTTGGGTTTTTAAAATTTCACTAATGCAAAAGTTGAATCTTAATCACAAATTTATTTTCTCAGACCACAGGTGATGGTTGTATATTCTTAAAATAGTTGAAATTTCACTTAGCAGAAATTTAGCAGCTGTTGCTTCTCATTAATTTTCAGCCTGGAAGTCAGCATTGCTGATAATAAAGGCTTTTAAATCTGCACAACTCAGTTTCAAGTGCCATTTGCAGAAGATTATCTCTGAAAATGTTGGAGCACTTTTCAAAAGCAAATTAATGATGACCACAAATAAACATTGCCTTCTAAAAATTGTAACCTGAGCTGCCTTCTGCAAAGGGGCAGGGCTGAAAGCTCAGAGGAATCACAGGAATAATGTTTTTTCTTTACAAGAGGAGAAGCAGTTGTGCTGGAGGTGTGGTTGCTAAGTGTGCTCTCCTGCTCTGTAAAAGGAGCAGCTCTGCTAGGGCACAGTGCCTGCTGAGGACAGCAGTGAGTGACGTGTCCCAGGCCATGCCCGTGCCATGCCCACCCCTCTGTGTGTTCCAGGGACCGCGTGGTGGCCGTGTTTGTCCAGGGCCCTGCCTGGCAGTTCAAGGGCTGGCCTTGGCTCCTGCCGGACGGATCTCCTGTTGATATCTTTGCAAAAAGTAAGGGATTTACTTTGTTCCTTGGTTTGGGGTTTGTTGTTCTGTTTGGGGTTTCTTGTAGATGTTTATGTTCATGACAGAGTGCTGCCAAAGTGCTGCAGGTGGCTGAGCAGGCTTTGGGGCTCCTCACGATGGCAAACATTCCCGTACCCTTTGTGGTTGTTCTGCTCTGATCTGTGCAAGCTCATGGAAAGAACTGTCAGCTGCAAGAGTCACAAATAGCTGGTGTACAAATCTGCTTTCCAGTCTTCTAAAAAAGGTGAACAGACAATGTGTGTTCCTGCAATTGATAGCTAACAGGTTTAGAGGCTGGCTGCACATTCTAGTGCTATTTTGAAGAGAGGATTAATCACCTAGTGAACCACTAAGAAAGCATTGAAAATATGATCTGGTGTCTGACAAAAATTTCAGAGTTTTAAAAAGTTGAAGTTTCCAGTGAACTAGATGTTAGTATTGTATAGATCAGAACAAGTTTTTTGGGTCCCCACAACTGTGGTGCTTTGAGGCGCTTCTCTGGCACTGTTCACCCATCTGACAGAGAGGTGGGCCATAGCATCTAAGGAGTCTGTCATCTTTTCTGTTGCTTAAGTTTGGAGTTGCCTTAGAAAACAGACCTTTTGATGGTCTTCTGTGCTTTCAAATATAGACATAACAAACACATACACACGCACACAAAAAAAAACCCCAACCAAACAGGCAACAGACCCAAACCCGCCTTAGTTCACATCTTGCAGTCAGTGTGATGAGGAAACAGATTTGTTCAGGTTTTGTGTGTACCCCTCTTTGCTGTGTGATGTAGAATCTGGAATGACAAACCACTTTGAGCAGCAAGGAAAAAACTCAAGGGTGGGACAGAGAGCTAAGGATGGGTCTGTGAACAAGAGAATAGAATGAGTCAGTTTAAGGGGGGAATAGAGAAAAAGCAGAGAAAGAGAAAAAGAGCCTGAAAGTCATTGTGAAAGTAAAACTATGCCACAGGAGAGGGTTTAACAGAAGAGATGAATGAAAGAAGGAAATAGCACTTCAAAATAAAGATACTGAGAAAAAGGCAATTGTGAAAAGCAAAGCCAAGAAAAATGCAGTGAAATATAGATCTAGCTAGCAGTTACATGCTGCTTCCTATTAATTTTATCATTTTTATATATACATGTATGGAGGGCCATAGGAATTGTTCTGACTTGCTTTGACATTCCTGGTCTCAGCGTGCCAAAAGATCACAATCACAGCCTGCACAGTTCAAGGTGCAGGTGTACAAATTCATACATTTTTCAAGTGAAAGAGGGATATCTGGTCTTAATTCATACATTGAAATGGATCTTCAATTTAGAAATGCATTCCATTCCTTCAAAGCATGGTGTTTTAAAATATTTTCCTGATAAAGTGTATTTCTAGATCTTTCCCCAGTGATGTTACTGATCCTTTAGATGAAAACAGGTGAATGGAGTGCAGATAGCATCAGTCCAGTTTTATGTATCTATTTTTATCTGAAGCTATTATTTTGCCATATTTTTAGTGTTCAGTAAGTGAACTGAATGTTCACTTCACAAATGTGGTTTCTGGGATTTGCAGCTGTCCATTGTTTCATCTGCAGTTTGCATTTCTTCTCTGTCTGGGTCGGTTGTCATTGCCAAGTATTGAAGGCTGTCACTTGGAAAACAAGCAGGTAGCTTACCAGAAAGAACTCCTCAATAAAATGAGGAGTACTGGGCCAGAGCTTGCCTAACTGGTTTTATTGGAGCAATTGCTTTGTCCCAGAACATTTCATTAGCTGAAACTCTAAAACTGTGCTCCTTAGTTTTCCTTATGCTTGGTGTCCTGACTATTTCATGTTCATGTACCAAACCAGCCTAATTTCACATTTACAAGTGAATGTTTGTGATGAAGTTTTGAATGCTGTCAGTTTCATGGACAAATATTTCATTTTGACTACCATTTTATAGGTGTACCTCCCAGAGCACAGCAGGGAGCTTTAATAGTGATTTGTTTCAGGTTCAGAAGTGGATCCTCTTGTGCTTAATAACATTTAACTGGAATGCAGAGACTCTGTCAGATATTGATGGAGTTTTCTGTAAATGCATGGCCCTGGTGTATCTTCATTTGTTTTTTCTGAAGTTATATGAATACATGCAATATATATATTGCTATGTGTGTGTACATATATATATATGTATGCATATGTATAGATATATATCCAGTGTATAGTGGAGATAATGTATATGTATTCTTAATCACAAAGCCTGGAAATTTATCTCTCAGAGATACAAGTCAGATGATCATTTCTTTAGTTCGCCAACAAAAAAAAAAAGCTAATTTCACATAGCAGCCTTCTAGGAAGTTCCCAAATGGATCTGGAAAAGAGAACTGATTTTGTGGAAGACAAAATTAAGAGTGTGGTATCTGAGGAAGATAGAAGCATGGCATTAAAAAGAACTAGTTTCCACAAGATTGATGGCTTGTTTTACTTTTCCAGTACCACTAAAATCATCAGATTGGCTCACCAGATAGGAATTGTAGAAGGCTTAAATACCTTAGTTTTAATGCTCACTGTGTAAATGCTGAGGCTTTACCTAATTCACATGGGACAGTACTTCCCAAGAGAAAAATAACAGTTAATATTTTACCATTTTTAACTGAGTACTAGACATGGGGAAATTGGCAGTTACTGAATTTCTCAGAATGCTTTATGCAGCATTTGGGGGTTACACTGGCATTATACTATCAGTCTTCTACAGATTCTTATAGGAGATAGCCAGGCTTCCTACTCATAGGTCTCAGAAATATCTTTTTGATTATTATGTAATTCTTTGACAGCTCAGAGGTTTTCAGAAAGAACTTTTTTGTTTCTCAAAGAGAATGTACTTGAATTGGCAGTGTGTTTCTGCTGTTCCCTTGGAATCTGTGCATCTAAAAGCAGGGGCTGCCCTTTCCCTTCACCCTGGAATAGCCTGGGAGCCATTGACCTCTATATTTAACTGTGCCCTTCAGTGAGTAGTTGTCTTCTTTGGATTATGGGCTTGATAATTTTACTCTCAGGCTTCATTCTGAAAAAGGAGGAGTGGGCTAGGGATTTTCTTTGACCAATAAAGAAACACTAAAGTCCTCATGTACCAAATGCTGTCCTGTTTGCTGTAGTTAAAGCTTTTCATCTCAAGTACGATGAAGTGCGCCTGGATCCCAACGTGCAGAAATGGGACGTGACAGTGTTAGAGCTCAGCTACCACAAAAGACACTTGGACAGGCCAGTGTTCCTACGCTTCTGGGAAACCTTGGACAGGTATGGTTCCTGCTGGAAATCCTTGGTCTTCATGCTTGTATGCTTTAGGTGGGAATTAAAAGTTCTGGCCGCCAGGGAATTGTTTACAACTTGGATATCTGAACAATGATTTAGTTTGGAAATACTGCTTGTTTTGATTTTCCCTGATGATACAGTTAATGAAATGTGGTGGTATGTGTTTACAGACTGTAAGTAACAATCTCCAAAATGTGGATTTAAAGGAAGGGTAGTTACCATTAATCATTGGTTAGTCCCATGATTCCCCACCTCCTGACTCTGATTCTCTAGGTCAGAACCCTCCTGAAGGGGAAGTTCACTGTAACACCTTTTTCAGGTTGTAGAGAAGGAACTTTATTATCATGAAGCAGTTGAAGAAATATTGAGGGAGGGGAAAAGCCCATATGTTTCATCAATGTTTAATTTTTTCATGTTGATTCACAGTGAACTGCTTGAATGATTGAGTGAAAAAGAAAAATCCAGTGGGAATTGTCAAAATAATTTCAATCATCAAACTTTCCATGGCTTTCTGTTTAAAAGTCTCAGGTGAACCATATATCTGAACTCGCAGATGAACTAGTAGTCTTTCAATGTTAGAGGTCATGCAATGCCTTGGAAAGCGGAGTTTTCTTTGAGGCAGGGCTGTAGCCAGCTGTTACTTAGTAGGAGAAATCCTGCACACAACATGTTGCATCTCTTTGGCAACTTTCTAATTCCCTAACAATTCTCTTTTAACAATGCCTGGGCGTTTTATTCCTGCAGCTAAAATTCCTATAAATGCCACAAGGGTAGTAATGCTGTCTTCTGTTAATTTTTTTTCAGGTATATGGTAAAGCACAAATCTCACTTGAGATTCTAAGTCCTTCAGCTGCCATTTATTTCCTGAAGTATGGATTGGAAAAAATGGAGGGGGCTCCAGTTTGGAGACCAGAGCTCGCACTATATATGTCAAGAACTTTACAAATGAGGAAGGGTCACAGTTTAAACTTTTTATAAAATCTTATTTGGATGATTCATGCTATGGCAGGTTGATACCTGTTAATCAGAAGCAAAGGGGTTTTGCTTAAAACTATTTTTTTAATGTTGTTAGCCTTCTAGTCTGCAATCCAAATTGTATATTTTGATAGCAGCAGTTTCTTCTCTGTTTTGTTAAATTAGCCACATTTTTAAAGACTGTGTTTTGTTCCCCAGTAGAGGATAGCTGGATGTCCACGGCGGGTTCCCCGTGTGCGTGTGCACGGGCGGGTGTAAATACAAGTGTGCCTGTGTCTATAGATATAGTGTACAAAAAAGTTATAGACACAATGATGCACACCTAGGTGTTTCCAGGCTTTCTAAACCACTTAGCTTCTGAGCTTAGTTTGGGATTTCTTTGCTTACTGTTTCACTTACTGAAAATATTTTGTTGTGAATGATATTACATTTTAGTCAATAGGACTTGCGAACTGAGCAAAGTGAAAGTTGTTTTCAATAAATCAAAATGTCAAGCTGTATATGTATATTCTGTCAGTCTTTGTTGAAAAAGGGAAGATCAAAAATCTATTAACTCTTTTTTTGGATTTGTAATGTCCCAGTTTACTAAATCTTGAAAATTTATTATAGGCATACTGTTGAGTCATGGTAACTCTAAATTGCCATTCTCCACACACATCTCTTTCTTTAAACTGAAAGTATGCATGTGTACATTCCCATCTAGCAAATATCTTTGCATAGGAATCTAAATGTTACCTAGATTAAATGATGAATAGAGGAGGAGAGAGTTGGATTCTTTTTTCCTGGAACAGCCACCACAAGGAATGAATAATTTTAACTTCTTTGTATTTATACCTCTAATACGATTTTCTCATGACAAAAGTAGCCCAGACTGTCAACAGGAGTTGTAATTTTCTGAGCTAGGTGGCTAATATGGCCTCCCAAGAGTCCTGCATTGGAATGGAAAATCAGCCTTCTCAAATTACCAAAGAACAGATTTGCTTCATCTCCAGTGTGAGGCCAGAGGATCCTGGTATTTGTACCAATTTACAGCATCTCTGTATCTATGGAATAACGTTAAGTTGATGTTGCATACCAGTGAATGTAGAGAATGATCAAATACTGTAACACCTGCATGATTTTTTTTCTGGGATAGAAAATACATGTTTATATTCCTGTTCTTGAAATTCCAAACCATGTTTTTTTAATATACTTTACATTTAAGGTTTGACAAAAATAAAATGTTCTACCTATTCTGTTTTGGTTTTTATTTGATGTTAACTTCATTTTTAGTAAAACCCAAAGTCATATATTCATAAGAGGTTTTTAAAACTGTCTGGCACTTGATTGTTCATATTTTTGTCAGTCATAAAAGTATTGATGTTTAAGTCATATATCCATAAGAGGTTTTTAAAGTTGTCTTAAGTTTATGAGGACCGTGAGGTCTGACTTTTAATTGTATGTATCCATCCCTGCTATAATGTGACTGTATTTTCAAATGGTCTAAATGGAACTGTAAAATCTCAAACCACCAGAACAACCCTCTGTGAATCCTGATATTAGAAGCAGCTGACCCTGGATTTTGGAATGGATTCAGCATGGTGACTGGGAGCTACAGAACTGCTGGGATGTCTCCTGTTTGTGTGGGCAGTTGGGCAGTACCCTGTTACTGTGTTTTCCCTGTACTTAAGCTTCTTAGAAATGTGTCCATGTCATACTAGAGCTGGCTGGAACATTGAGTGCAGAGCAAAGCTGTAATGGCTTCTTCCAACATAGCAGGTGCTACCGTGTGGTAGCAATTTACAGTTCATTTCTGCTTTAAACAGTGAGGTATCATGTATGGTTTTGTAAACTTGAGCATTTCCAATTAGAAATGTCATTTTTTTCAGACTTAATAAGTACATCATGGCCTGTGCTGTTTTAAAGAGACTTCTAGCAGTCAGCTTGAAAAGTAAATTTTGGACAAGTGTGTGCTTCACATGCAGTGTGATATGCAGACCATAGAGCGGGTTTGCAGTAGGCAAGGGACAGTTATCTTTTCTGTATCCTGTACTTCCCTGTGCTTTCAATGCACGTGTAATTCCAGATCCAGTGCAGGAGATGGCTTGATGTAGATGGAGATTTATGTATTTATTGGCAGTTAACTCCTCTGAAATTACTGAAGTTACATGGCTGTGGAATGGGCAGAAGAGCAATATCCATGAAATCTGTGTGACCTGTGTTTGTTTTTATGGGTTGAGAACAGACCTTTAACATCTTAGAATTTTGTACTGGCAAGCAGTTTGTGACCCAAGTTATACAATATGTATTTGTGAAGGAGCTGGCACCTGATTGTGCATATTTTTGTCAGTCATAAAAGTAGTGATGTTTATAAAAGGAGCCATTTTGCAATCAGATTCCTGCTGACATTATTGGAAGTTTAATTAGGTTGTCAGAATAGCATTCCTGCTGCCTTCATAAATAACTGCACATAGATTATGAAACTACTTGGACTTAAAAATTTAGCCTTACAGCAGCATTTTGCAACACAGCTGGAATTTTAGACACTTATGTTATGCTTAATTTGTCTGCACGTTAATGTAGAGTAATAAAGAAAAGTGATACTAAGAAGTGGGGAAGCTGGAGGAGCAGACATCTGTTTTACTGAGCTGCTTTCTTTTTGCTGAGCAAATTGGACACACTACTTAGAGGTGTATAAAGTGTGTAAATTGTATTCAATTAAAATGTACAGCTATAGCTGAGCTGCTTCCCTGCCTGCAGCTTATTGAACACTAGAATGACATGAGTGTGAGACTCAGATGTCAAATTGGCTGTTCCTGTTCTGCACCTTCAGTGTCATCACTCTGCACTGTTTCATGAGGGTGACATGAGTGAGATGAAGCATGATAAGCTGAGAACTGGTTTGAAGTCTGTGATTGGGCTCACGTGCTGTCAGCAGGTGATTATTGCTTTTAGTAACAGGGTTAGTGGGGTCAGTAGTTGTACCTGAAGTAATGATTTTATATTAAAAGTGAAAATACCGGTTATTTATACTGTTTGAACTTTTGAATATTAGTCTGAACAAAGCAGACAAAAGGGGAGTTCTTTTGTAAGATAAAGTAGGACAACTGCAGGGACTTGCATACCTGAAGAAATTGCAGATCAGCATCCTCAGCTGAGTAGGCTCAGCTCTTTTGCTATTACCTGGAAATTTTTGTAGGAAGATGGTTTTACAAATAGGTGCTAAAGTCAGTGCTTGAGCTAGACAATTTATGGAACTGTTCTGCAATGCTGTAAACCTTTTTATTTCTGAATTCAGAAGAAAATGTAGATAGCAAATTGTATGCTAAGTTGCCCTTCATCATAAGTTAAACTGTTATGTTATATTTGACAGCAAATGTGGAACAGCAAATTTGTTTTTGGCTTTCATTTGCTATGCAGTTGGTTTATAAAATATTGCCATTCTCTACAGGGACGTGCAAAAGTTAGTTTTATTAGTACAGCCTTTATTCTTTTGCTGGTGAAATATGCACTTAGTTGCTAATTCTTGCAAACACTATACCAGAAAAGAAAAAAAGCTGATCAAAATTAATGGCTTAGAGGTTTTAAAATTTAATGTCATGAATGCATTTTAATTCAAAAGCCATAACTAATGCCAAGTACTTTATTAGAGCAATGTGTTCATGAAAAATTAAAATCCCTGCCTGAGGAAACTGCTGGCCAAGTAGGTTACAGTTCAGCTAATGTGTGGAAAAATCTACCACAAACTGGAATCTCCAAATGTCATATCCTGAGTTGCTCATTTGTAACAAATGGATTTTTTTTGAGAGGTGGCAGTTCTGCTTCCTTTGCTAGCAGTTGCACACTTCAATCACAGTTGTGTAGTTTCCTGTCCTAGGTTTGGGTTTGCATTGAGGCTTCTGAGGCAGGGACAGAAAACAGATGACTGAGGATGGATGGAGTTGTTGGAGTGGAGCTCAGGCACTTGGCAAGGATAAAGATGGTGTCTGAATGGGACTGTGATCCAGAGGGTGACATCTGATGATCCTTGTGGATCCTTCCAGCTCAGCACATTCTGTGATTGCTCAGCTGTCATCGACTTCTCTCTGGATCATTATTCTCAGTGGTGGTGCTATCACAGAGGGCAGGTTTGAGAATGAGATTTAATCCAGCACATCCTGTTGGTGGGTAGTACACATTAGCAGGACATGCGTCCAGACTTTTACTGTGCCCATTTTTATTTAAACATGAATTTTAAAAATTATAAAATAAGAATGCAAATGCAAAGAACAATCTCAAATGTTTCAAACTTTATTGTAGATGCTACTTCACTTAGATGCTAGTTCACTTGTAAAAATGAAAGATATGAGGTGGTACAGAAAATCTGTAAGAAAAATAACTCGGTGTCTGTTTTTTATTTCCATCTGTAAATTCTTTTGGTGTATTTCAATTGCAGAAAAACTGTTTACTTGCTTTACAGGGTTCCTGCATGTATCACTGGAAACTGTCAGAGGTAAATCTTCAGTTGCAGTTGCTTGAAAGCTTGTAGATTTTATGATTGTGTGGGTTACAAGTTCTGGCCTGTGTCAGTGGGCCCAAATTTTAATAGTGGTTTTGAAGGTTGAAATTCAAATGAAATCTCAGAAGAACCCTATGGGAACAGCTACTATTGAATGACACAGAAAAGAAACTTTCCATATGACTAAACCTTTAAACTATGACATGACTGTCGTAAACTTGTTAAGTTTAATTTTTGGAAATATCTTGTCACAAAACCATTATTTAAGATCTGAACTATATTAATGATTTTTTTACAGAGTTATAGTTCAGCATTAGCTCAAGTCCAGCTTTTGAAAATTCCTAGGAAAAATTCCTTGCAGACTTTAAAAGGTGGGATGTTTTTCTAATTGCAACAGTCATCTTAGCCCTGAATGAAGAAACAAAGCATGTTTCTCATGTTCTATCGGTTAAGACCAAACCTGCAGTTTCATAACACTGAATGTATTTTTATTGGTAAAATAGGATGTAAAAAATATCTTAAAGAAGCAGTTTATAATGTTGCACTTGTTCCTTCCCTCTTGAAATCCTTTCCAGAGACCTATCCAGCTACTCTTCTGCTTCCCTGACTTGTTCTTCCTGCTTGTTTCTGCCAAACTGGGACTGTTCCTAACCCACAGATTTTATGTAAGCACAGCACTAGGAATGATTCTTCTGCCCTATCAGGGCACGGGCAGGGCAGTGGAAGCACAAGAAGCATGAGCTTCTCCCTGTTGTGTCTTAAAGCTGTTTACAAACTAAAAAACCCCAAACAAACAAAAACCTCAAAACTAGTAAAAATGCATGTATGACGTACTGAATATTTCATCCTGCTTCTTTCTAGTTTAGTTTTGACCTGGAGCAATGAAGCTTTGAAGTTTTGAACATAAAAATACCGAAGGCATACTAGTTGTTAGTATTTCCTTAATTACTGGTATGCCACTAATTGTTCTCCAAGGACCTTTAACTGCAGAGTTCTCCCTCTTACTGCAGACTAGTCTTAGGTGCAGAATGATTATCCTGAGCTCCACTGAGTCATTCTTAACCTGAGACTGAGTGAAATCTAAACACTTAATTACCTGACAGCCTTTGTTCACAGCTGGCACTGGGTTTGAGGAGCATCACAATTGTTTTGTTACTGATTTTGTGTGACAGATCAAATTAAAAAAAAATTATGAGCAGTGAAAAACTAAAAGTTTGATACAGATGTATTTTATGGTTTTCTAGGGCTAGGAGTTATCAGTAAATTTTGCAGCATGCCCTTAAAAAGTTAAGATGGTCACAGAAAAAGAAGGTGCAGATGAACAGCACCTCAGCACCTGTGTCTGTGTCTGTAGTGGGACATCTGGGCTGAACCTCTTCTCAGCTGAAGTGTCCATACTTGGATTGTAAATTCCACTGGAGACAGGGCATCTTTTTACTCTGTAATAAAACTTGTAGGAAAGAGCCAATGCTTTATGCACAATGGAAGCAATTAGTCTGCTTGCTGAAATGTTGCTAAAAAGGTAACAATGAGATTAAACATCAAAACAAAAGCAACTAAAAAAGAAAAAAAAAAAAAACAAAACCGCAACCTGCAAGGACTATCCAGCAACAAAATCAAATTAACAAAAACACCAGCAAACCCAAACACAGAAATTACTAAACTGAAATACAATTGGAACAATGCATTCTGAAGTCTGTATACAACAAATTTATTCTGTATGGATTAATTCCCTAAATTGTGTTCCAAATAATCT